TGGACTGTAAGTTTCTGCTCCAGGTTTTTTGCTAGTTCTCAAAGGCGCAGATGTTCTGCTTTGTCTTCTCAAAGCCAAAGTGTTATGTCTTATATTATTTTCTCACAGGTCAAACAACATGGGTGCCTTTGGATGTCGAATTAGTATTTCTAGCGTTTTAGATCCAAAACAATGCACTTGCAACATTTTAGTCAAGGATTGTATAACAATTAACCGGTGTGCTACGACAGCAGTACGAGGTGAGTTTTCGCGTTTTACTTTTGAGGGCTTTTGGCGCTTTCGGGACGATGGACGAGAGTAACGTGGCCAGTAGATGAATAAATGACAGACAACCTCATGCGCGCTTGTCGTCTCGGACGGCTGGACGACGTTTTTTGTGAACGGGAATGCATACCCCAGGTGGTCCTGCGTTATGCTGGTTTTGAGTGGTGCCATCTACGAGCCCCTTCCACATCAGTTGGCCCAACTAGTGAAATCTTAGTTTTTGTTCTTAACAAACATAAATAATAAAAATGTAGCAGGGTGCGATAGGTTTAAAATATTAACAATGCATATTTTGATAATATTTAGTAGAAAAACACCAACTTTATCACTCCCTAATCAAATTTGCAGCTTAAAAATAACACATGTTGCAGTTACAGCATATCAGCCTATTTTCATTTCAATGCAAAATAAGTCTATAACGCATAGGTGGCTGTGAAAAATAAAAGCCATGACAATTTTTTTTATTAATCACAGCTGTCAGAATACGTTTAAAATAGTTTTGGGTAGTTAAGGTTTTCAAAATGGGTAGAGGAAAGGTTATTAGTGAGAAAATTCGGTTACTAATAATTAAATTTTTAAATTCTGGGAAATCAAACTCAGAAATTGAAACTTTGTTAGACTTATCGCGCTACAGGGTGAGAAATATTGTTAGAAGATATAACGTAACTGGTTCAGTTAATATTAAGCCACGATATGTGAAAAACAGTAATATCACAAATGCCGACCGAAGAGCATTAAGAAGAATAATCGTGAAAAACAGGCGTGCCAATTATTTACAATTAAGTGCTCCGTGGAGTGACGCTGTTTGAAGGAGAATTTCGAGGTCCACAACTCATAGAGAGGCCCACAAACTGGGATTTAGCACTTGCAAGGTAAGTTTTCTTATAAAAAAAAGTGAAGTAAAAACTTCATTTTATTGTTGAAAATGTGGATACAAACAAATATTTGGCAATTTTAGAGGAATCGCTTTTACCAGTGATGGAAGAATGTTTGACATCCGGCCAAGATTTTGTGTTTCAGCAAGATGGTGCAGCGTGCCGTACCTCAAAAGAGGCTATAAAATGGATGGAAGAAAATAATGTACCACTTTTGAAATGGGTTTCTAGCAGTCCAGATCTGTCACCTATTGAAACTTTGTGGCACGAGGTGAAAAAGGTTCTACGACAACATCCTGCTCGTACAATCACCGAACTGAGACAAAAGCTTCAAGAAATATGGGATTGTTTTACACCAAATTTTTGCCAAAACGTGGTTAACACTATGCCCCAAAGAATTTCAGCCGTAATAAAAAATAAAGGTGATGTTACCCAATGGTAGTCTTTCAATTGTTGCTTTGTCAACTTCGCGCATTTATTCGCACATTGTTTATTTGTTCAGATGTTCTATTAATTACAGGACTAAGTGATTTCAAATATGTATTTTTTACGAATAGAGTGTATCTAAAATGTTTTTGAAATAATAAATTGTTTTATAAGTAAATAGTTTCGTCATGTTTAGTTTATAAAGGCATATTTCGGTACAAATCTTAAAGTGGGCCAACTGAAGTGGGAAGGGGCTCGTATATCAATTCGGAATTATGAATTTAGTTGTAACACACTATATAGTAGTAGTGGTGGTGACTTATTGTAGGACAAGAATTTACAAAGGTATACATTCCAATAATACAATTGTACAATAAACACGGAAAATCCCAAGAAGATAAACTAGTGCTGGGCATTAACCGTTAGCTACAGACAATTAGAATTTAAAACAGCATAACCTTAATAAAATTCAAACTTTATAAACAGTAAATGAGCTGACTAGGTAAAGTGTGAATGAAGATCACCTTTGTGATTGAAACGCTTACAGTACAGAAGGTTGTTAAGAATGGGATATTAACTGATTATTTGCTATACAAGTCTGAGTGAAACCTATTTTTACCATTTTAATTTATATCCCTTGTAAAGACCAGCCTGCTACCGAGAAAGTAGGACAAGCCTCGTTTTCGGTACACTGCGATGACTATACAACGCTTTTCCAGCCATTTTAATGCCCAGTCGTGCCTCTGCCACAAAAGCCTCGCAAAATAACCCGTTAATGACGAGTATCAAACAGATTCCAGTCTCCTTGTCATCGTCGTTTACAGCCCGTGCTGCCTCTTTGTTCCTGCCATTGACGCCAGCCGCGACGCGTCAACGCGTATCTGGCACCCTGTTTTCTCTCCTTTCTGAAATGTAATTACCGTTATTATCAAACTTGATTACTTATGGAGGCGCGTCACGAAATACGATACACAAAGAAACAAAAAAAGTGACGTGTCGTCAGTTCCTTCCCTTCAGTAGGTAGGAAAGTCGGAGATACAGATATCAAAGCGCCACGATATTTACAAAAACATCCACGGTATCCCTAAAGCCCACCCACCATTCATACAAAGCGTTTATATGAGTATATATTTGCTCTTATGATACGACGGACACCTCTGTATTTCAGGCAGAAGTGTACGCGATCTTGCATTACGCAAGGTCTGCGAAAGGTTGGAAAATCTCGAAACTGGAGATACTACAGACCAAAATATGTAAATTGATCTAAGCATACCTCAGTCCAAATGTTGATAGTTTGCGAGATACAGGTTGTCAAAGTTACAATTTTACTATCTATTTTTTCTTAGTGCTTGAGAAGTATTTCAGATTTTGGCATAAAACTCGGTATAGCGAGGTTTTCTACTATGATAAACAAGAATCCGTTATTTTTTATCGCCAAGCTTCTAGCACTATTTCGGTAAAAAACATATCATAACATTTTTGTGCAACTGATCAAAAATTTTTATTTTCTCGTATCTCCACAACAAAAAAAAGGTTCACTTGTTAGAAGTGTCCAAAGCTAATAGTTTTCGAGATATTTCTTTTTAAAAGTTCCAATGTATTATTTGTACCATTATGATAAAACACTTTTATAACATAATAATCAAGTTGCTTTGGACAATATCTGAGTAGCGTTGCTATGGTTTTTAACAATAACAAATGAGGATGACAACAAAACTAATAAACGGAAATAATAACTACAAAAATTGTATCTCGCAGACCATCAACTTTTGGACTAAGGTATGCTTAGGTCAATTCACATATACTAAGTGACATATAAATCCGAACACCCAGTTTAAATGGTTTTATTTTAATAAAATTTTGTATAAGTACTTAATGAAGCATAATAAGTAAATTATAAAAATTTCAAAATGATTGCGCTGCTTTAAAGCCCTTTGACCTTTAATAATGTGTGGATGCACCCTGATGAGCTACGCATTCTCCAACGCGCCTAGGCATTCTTCTGATCAGGTGGTCAATGTCCTCCTGTGGTATCTCACTCCAGGCAATCACCAACTCCTCTCGAAGTGCTTCTAGAGTCTGAGGAGGACGTTGCAAATTGAGCAATCTCCTACCCATCATATCCCACACGTGCTCAATTGGGGATAAGTCGGGAGATCTTGGTGGCCATGATAACAATGTGACATCATTATGTTGAAAGAAGTCTATTGTGACTCTTGCAACATGTGGTCGGGCATTATCTTGTTGGAAAGTTGGATCTGCCAGGGTGTCAAGATAGGGTAAAAGATGGGGTTCTAGAACTTCGTGGATATAACGCTGCGCGTTCATGTTACCTCTGATGAAGATTAAAGGTAACCTGGAACCATAAGCTATAGCACCCCAAACTATAACTCCAACAGTGTGATGAACATGTCTTTCAACAAAAAACTGTGGATTCCTCCTTTCACCACGTCGCCTTCTAACCCTGGCACGACCATCGTGCATGCCTAAACAAAATCGAGACTCGTCACTAAAGACAATACTGTTCCATTCCTGATCCCAGAGTGACCGTTGTCTGCACCACTCAAGGCGATTACGTCGGTGATCTCGAGTTAAAGGGAGGACCCAGTGTGGCCGGTATGAAAACAAGCCAAAACTTCTCATTCGTCGGTAAACACTTCGCATGCCAATAGGTCTTCCGTGTTCTGCAAACCATTCATTTGCAATGGACCTGGTAGTGGAGAAACGGTCCCTTAAGGCCAATAATCTTAGGCGGCAATCTTCACGATCTGTTGTTCTACGGCGGCGTCCAGTGTCCCTTGCTCTTTGCGTACGGCCTTCTCGAAGCCATGCCTGACAACACCTAACCACAGTGTCTACACTTCTTTGCACTCTAACTGCAATTGTCCGAAAAGAAAGTCCAGCTTCATCAAACTCACTAAGTTGACGAAATCGTACAGGTCTCCGTACTCTAGGCATCGTAACCGGATGTCAAGAACCAAAATCCGCCAACGTTGATTATTTACTGCGGCTGAAATATTCATTTTTAGAGCTTTAGTGAATTAAAAAAAAGCAGTATAAAAACCGGAATGTCCAACTGATAAGGCTGAAAAATTTTTCACTTGTTATTTACAGTAAGATAAATACATTCACCAACTTTTATTAAAATAAAACCATTTAAACTGGGTGTTCGGATTTATATGTCACTTAGTATATTTTGGTCTGCAGTATCTCCAGTTTAGAGATTTCCCAACCTTTCGCAGACACCCTGTATAACGGGCGAGGCAAGGAGAGCCATATACACTGACAGTCGGGCGTTACTCAAAGCGTTAAAGCCTTGTCCAGGAAGGGCGAATTCGCCGCGATTCTCTCGCGCGTGTTTCGCGCTACCGTTGCGTCCACACATAGCGTACCAACGCCCAAGCATTCAGGGAGGAATTCAGTACGAAACATGGAGTTGAACGAAGCGTTCTCGTTGTGGTTAGCTTACCGTCGCTGGAAGAGACAAAAACGGAGGGAAAATAGAATGTATTTACTACATCCAATTCTTCATGATAGAATGACCCATAGTATGTTTGAAACTTTGTATCCAAAATTAAGACAACATGAGAAGAAATTTTTTAACTACTTTCGTATGTCCGTGAAATCGTTTGATGATTTACTCTTATTAATTGGAGAAGATTTATTGCCACGTGCAAATTATGTTCCGCGCAAGGATGTTGTTTCACCAGAACAGAAACTCGTGATAACTTTAAGGTAAGTAGTGTTTTATTCATAATATCTTATATTACTAACACAGTCTTTTAAAATAAAAAAATATTCTTACTAATAAAAACGAACTAAATGTAGTATGAGATTAAATATAATAATTAAACAATGTCATGGTTTTGGAAGAGGTTAAGACATTCACTATCCTGAGAATCTCTTGATGATGTTGATGGAGAATTTACGTATAATGCTGCCTGCGAACATCCTGGCACTGAATTAGAATTGCGGCCTTGCCAAGTTGTTACGGGTGGCATTTCTGGGTCGTATTCTTGAAAAGTAAATTAATTTGGTCTTGTAGGTTGTGCATGGTATCGAACCGGAATTGAAGTTCAAGATGAAGCCGAACTGTTAGAAAAGTACGAATACGAATTGTTTGAATACACAGTTGATTGCGAAGATTGTTGAGCCGCTTGCAAAGTTTTCATTAATTCAATTTTTACTGCTATACGATTGGCCTCAGGTACCTTAAGTAATTCTTTGTGTAAATATAAGCAGAACAGTTTGTCATCATCACCTTTCATTACGCTGGAAAGCAGTGGCTGTTGTTCATTCCTAGAGCTTATATTTTTGTTAATTATGTTCAGGAATTCAGCATCAGCGGCAGTCATTTTCTTTCTTTTAATATTTTGATTCGGCGGCCTCATTATGTCTTCCCTTGCATCTGCTGTAGACTCTTCGTTACCTGTCTCTGAGTTTTCTGAGGTGTCTTGAATATTGCTTTCTGTTTTTTTATTACGTACTGACCTTTCGAGAAACATAAGACGTTGAAAATATACATATTGATTCTTAGAAGCCCCAGAGCCTGATGGTGCATTCTTTGTTTTTTTCATTTCACGAACAAATGTGTCGCGAAGGCCTTTCCACTTTTTTGAAGAGTATTACCTGAAATTAACAATTTCACAATAATTTTCAATTTTGTTTCAGGTACTTAGCAACTGGCTGTTATTTTGCTGACTTACATTATGCCTATAGATTAGGAAAATCAACTGTAATTGACATCGTTCAAAAAACTGTGTATGTTATTTGGAATAAGTTAAAAGATATAGTAATGAAAGAACCTTCGACAGAAGAGTGGATGGAAATTGCAAGAGGATTCGAAAAATATACACATTTTCCTAATTGCATTGGAGCGGTTAATGGGAAACATATTAGAATTATAAAACCTTTAGATTCCGGCTCTATGTTCTACAATTATAAACATTTTTTTCGACTGTGCTGCTTGCCGTATGTGATGCAAATTATTGTTTTATCTCTATAGATGTTGGAGCATGTGGGAAGAGCAATGATTCAACGATTTTTAAAAACTCCACATTCTTCAAAAAATGTTTGAACATTCCGGGACCAAAACCAGTCTCAGAAATTCGTACAACACGTTTACCTCATGGTATAGTTGGAGATGAGGCATTTAGCTTATCAGAACATATTATGCGACCATATTGCGGCAAGAATTTAACCAAAGAAAAACGAATATTTAATTACCGCCTCTCTAGAGCAAGACGTTATATTGAATGTTGTTTTAGAATCCTGGTAAACAAATGGAGAATATTTCACAAACCACTCAATGAATGAATGAATTTGCGGAAAACATAATTAAAGCTTGTTGTGTTCTTCACAATTACGTCAGGTTAAGAGATGGATACAGATACGAAGACACATTGTTCGAAACAGCTCTAGATGGTCTGAGTACGACTACAATTCGACCTGGTGTAAGGTCTCGAAACACGAGGGATATATTCGCTGATTATTTCATGAAGGAAGGTCGACTGCCGTGGCAAGAAAAAATGATCTAATTTTCTTTGTTTGTTACTAATCAATAATGTAATAATAATTACGTACCTAAATATTTCTTTTTTTCATCGGAATCATCTTTATCAGAAAATACTGACACCAGTTCTTCCCAAGACCTACGTTTTAAAATCCTGTTGGCATAATCAGGTGATTCCAAATCCCATATCGCCGGTCTTTTTTCTATTTCGTCTATAAACAATTGCGTGTCAAAATTTTGGCGCTCCATTTCCCTCGATACGTGCACTCGCTCTAGAGTTCGTGCGTTAACTGGACGCAACAAGGCGTTCCCTAGTATCTCGACGCAATACGCGCGAGTCGAGAGTCTGGCGTAGTGCACGCGATTTACGCGCGTATTTTGAATTCGCGCGATGCTTGTGGACGCGACGTATTGATGTCAAGTATCTCACTAACGCGCGAATGATTTCGCGCTAAACGTTTCGCGGCGAATTCGCCCTTCCTGGACAAGGCTGAAGAAGCCCTATAATGACATCTTCACTGATCTGGGACAAGTACTGAACACACTGGACCTTATATCGATTTTCTAGGGTATGACGTTTATTTTTGCATCCCTGAGATGGAGGAGTTAAAGGAAAGCAAGTCAAAATGGCGTACCAAAAGCTGATTATAGATGGAGAAGTATGGAAAGGGAACATCGAAACAGACGTGAAACTAGAAACATGGCATATAAGAGGCTTGTACCAAGCTGGTCGATTAAAACACTTGGCCAATGAATTAGTAAAAACACAACTTTCAAATAGTGGCATTACAAGAGACCAAACAAAAAAGACAATGCAACCAGCAAATTGGAAATTACATATTTTTCAACAGCGGTGGGATGAATAGATTCTTTGGAACAGGATTTATGCGGCTGAAAAGTATAGTAGCAGATTTTAGCCCTGTATCTGAAAGGATATGTACGCTCAGGATAAGGGGAAAATATCAAAAAATAACTTTCTTAAATGTGCATGCGCCCACAGAAGAGAAAGGACAAGAAGTTAAAGAACAATTCTACGCCCAACTAGATGAAATATATGATCGTATACCAAGGTATGACTTGAAAATAGTAATAGGGGATACCAATGCTAAGATAGGCAGAGAAGAAGTATACTCTCCCACAATTGGAAGACATAGTCTGCATATGGAAACAAATGAAAATGTTAATTTTCTAATAGATTTTGCCAGGGAAAAAGCGATGATTATAAAAAGCACATACTTTGAAAGAAAAGACATCTATAAAGGCACTTGGAGGTCGCCCAATGGTGAGACGATCAACCAAATAGACCACGTATTGATAGATAAGGATGAAGAAAAATGTATCACGAACATAAGAACATACAGGGGAACCCGATCCGGACTCTGACCACTTCATCGTTGGAACAACGTTGAGAGAGATGATACCAATATATAGAAATCAAAACAATAATAAATTGAGCAAAGCAGGACTGATGAGACTACAGACTGAAGAAGAACGGAAAGAATATGAAGATAGCTACCAAGGAATTGAATAACATTACGCAGAACGAGAATGTAGATCAGGCATGGAATGCTATCAAAACAGCTATGATACGCACTGCTAGGGGTATAAACAAGGGTACTAAAGAGAAACGGCAACCTTGGTTCGATGATCAATGCAGAGAAGAATTGTAAATGCGAAACAGATTACGACTAAAAATGCTAACACAGAAAACAGGTGTGGCGGAAAGTAATTACTCCTTACAAAAGAAGAAAGTGAAACATATTTTCAGAGAAGGGAAAAGAAAATATCACGAAAATAAACTACAGCTCATAGAAGACAATTATAAAAACAAACAGATCAGAACCTTATATCAAGAAATAAATAATGAAAAGCGGGGTTACCAAACCAGAACTACGCACTACAAGGATAAAAATGGTATAAAGATATTCGATGAGGAAGAGACCCTTGCACGCTGGAAACAATACTTTGAGCAGTTGCTAAACGCTGCAGACGATGATTACAACGAGGAAAATCCAACAACCCATCTAAGGCCTCAACTAACTGAAGAAGATCCGCGAACATTATCGGAAGTCGAAAACATCATAAGCATCCTGAAAAATGATAAGAGCCCCGGAGGCGATAGTATAACCGCAGAAATGATTAAATATGGAGAATCTCGAGTAACATACATGCTACATAACCTACTGAAGAGTATATGGGAACAAGAGGTCTTACCGGTAGAATATAATGAAGCGACAGTGTGTATCATTCACAAAAAGGGTGATAAATCAGACTGCCAGAACTATAGAGGCATAGCGCTTCTCAATTTAACATACAAGCTACTGGCCATACACATCAAAAACCGGCTGGCAATGCACACTGAAGCAATTACTAGAGAGTATCAATGCGGATTCTGACCAGGACGCAGTACCACTAACCAGATTTTCACGCTCCGAGAAATTCAAGCTGAAAGCTATGAAAATGAGAAACCGACTGTGCTGCTCTGCATTGACTATATCAAGCACTCCAGGAACAACATGTAAGCCAAAAACTGATTAATATGATTAAAATAACGCTAGAAAAGACAGAAAATATGGTCAAGATAAACAGCAGATTTACAGAAAAGTTTGAAGTCAAAGAAGGAATCCGTCAGGGAGATCCACTGTCATCGCTCCTATTTAACATTGTGCTCGAGAAAACTATACAAGAAGCAAACATAAACAGGGCTGGTTTAGTATATCACAGAAAGCATCAATGTCTAGCATTTGCTGACGACTTGGTCATTCTGGTTAAAGTTGAACTTATAAACACCGTAAAGAGACTAGAAGAAAAAGCACGAAGCAAAAGACTGTTCAGTAATTAGAAAAGACACAGGACATGGAATGGGCAGATAAAGAACTTGTTAAAGGACGACCCTTAATAATGACTACAACAAAAGGAGAAGTTTATAAGTTTGAAAAAGTACATACGTTTGACGACTTGGGCACAGTATTTACATCAAAGCCGGACAACAGAGGAGAAATACAAAAAAGAATGATGGCTGGAAATCGTGCCATATATGCACTAAAAGGACTAATGAAAAGCAAAATTATATCCAGGGGAGCTTAAATCAGTGGTCACGTATGCATGTGAAACATGGACGTTAATAAAGGCAGAACAAGCAAAGCTAGAGATATGGGAACGGAAGGTGTTAAGGAAGATTTTTGGTGGCAAAATGTTAGACGATGGTACGTGGACCCGAAGAACAAATGATGAGTTGAAAGAACTGTTAAAGAGCCCAACATAACGGCAGTCGTAAGAGCTCAGAGGTTGAGATGGTTGGGACACGTGCAAAGACTGGCAGTACATAGAGTACCAAAGACACTGCTTACCCATTCCATAGGAGGGAAGAAAAGGAGAGGCAGACCTAGGACGAGGTGGAAAACTGAGGTGAAAGATGACCTGAGGAAATTAAACATAAGTGATTGGAAAAGTTGAACAATGAATAGACAAGAATGGCGAAGGATCGCCAATAAAGTCATGGGCCTACTAGGCCTGTAGTGCTAGTTTATATATAATGTTTATTTTTAAATCATGTCGGCTTTCCTACAAAATGTCACCCTTGGACTAGCTGACGTTCACTTCGTTCTTACTTGTAGTAGGCGCGGAATGAGCTAGCGGCACACTAGCGTCTACCTAGTGCACCAGTTGAAATTTTACCGATTTTGTAACATTCTATAGCTTTTTTATGTAATACGCCTGCGGATAGTAAGCTACAACGCAATTGTTGTGTACCTAGATACGCACGTCATATCGATAATGCAAATTTGTTGTTTTTCCGCGAGTATGTAATTAGGCCAACACGTTCCATATTTGAACTCCCCGAACAGTGAAGCGTTAATAGGCAAAAATTGTAACAATGCGAACAGGGTTGGGCAACTGTCCGACATTATGATAGTGATCTATATCATGCAAAGCACGCAACACCATACCTACAAGGTGATTCATTGGAACGTTTGCAAATAAAAACCTAAGAAATGTCACAGGCATTCAATTATGCACTCGAAATTTTTTCGAAAAGGAAAGGTCTGACTGAAGCTTCTCAAGAGAGACAACCGAATAAAAAAAATTCATATTCAGAAATGCATTCCATGTTTTAAAAGCCAGGTGAATGGAGAATGTTACTTTTTTCTTCTACATGTGCCAAAATTCTAAACAGCTGCAATATTTTGAGCCTCAAAATGTTTATTTGTATTAGTTATGTTATTACACTGATCAACAGGCAAAAAATATCCTAAATAAAATCAACAAAATATTACTATTTTTAATGTGCTAAAACCGGAATGAAACTTATTTTTTCAATATTAGTTCAAGTTTTAGAGATACGGTAATTATATGTGTTCCTGCTGTGACAGTGTTAATATATTGTAATTCATAAGAATGCACGTGCTACATTTTTATATTCGGCAAGGAAAGATAATGTAATCGGCATGATTGTGTTACGTTATACATACGTGTACATTATATTGTTTTATATTAGCCAATTTTTCCTCAGTTGGCTGACAGCGTTCATGCAAGATGTCTCGAAAGTGTGTAAACAATCCAGATCATTTTTGTTACGTGTGTGGTGATGTGACTTTTGCGTCTCAGAGACGGTCTATTACTCCACTAATAACAAAGGCATATCAGCTTTATTTCGGTTGTAAACTAGGTGATCACGACAAACAGTGGGCACCCCACATCTGCTGTAATACATGTGCTTCAAGTCTGAGGAGCTGGTTAAATGGCAAAAAACGGTCTATGCGCTTTGCTGTCCCAATGGTTTGGAGAGAGCCTACAAATCATATTAATGATTGCTACTTTTGTGTTGGACAAGAAACAGGTATGTCCAAGAAAAAAGAATCGGTTATTAACTACCCAAACATACCATCTGCGATGAGACCTGTGCCTCACAGTGACGAAAATCCTATTCCAAAACCCCCAGAATCCTACACTTGCGAATC